GACTCATGCTTACGACGTAATGCCGAAGTACTGCACATTAAAACTGATATATCTCAAGAAAGAAAAATCGAATCCCAACAAACGAAAATCATGCCCTAAGTAGAAATGAGCAAAAAAAATTTGTTTTCATTATATGAGTCGTCCACTTGCAAAGAGCGCTATGTAAAATTGTTTCGATTTTTAGTTTTTGGTGGATTACGTACCAGTATTTAAAGTAGTTTCATGTCCACTAACAACACAGTATATTCTGAAAAAATAGCATCAAATGTTAACTCTTCTTCCAAAAGTCGCTATCATACTTATTTATAATCTTTCAAAAGTATACATCTTGATGAACTTAGAAAACTGCTCTAAGTCGTATAGACTGTTAATATTATCTTATGCCATGTTATGTTATACTGCAATTTTATAAGGCTCTTATTTATCCAAATTTTCAGGTAATAATAAAAAAGATTCAATTGAAATGTTACTTGTTGTCGTAGTCGTTTTTTCTAATTTATGGCGTTCTATTATAAAATCACATAACGCTGTTTGCAAGTGGACTACTCATATAACCTCAAATATCGCCAAAAACCGTGATTTTAGCACTTTGAGCTTAGGATATCTCAAAATTCTAGTGGTAGAGCGATTGTGCGGCCAGATTTGGATTAAGCACCAACAAATGATGTGTTTTACTCAGGTGGTACAAAAATAAAAATTTCTATAAATAATTAGAAAAGAAAAAAAGAAAAACTTAACTTACTCGCATATCTACTGGCATTTTCAACGCGAATGGAATTGAACAGTGCTGCCGCTGTCACTTCAATTGAAGTTTTTCACTTCACTTTAGAAGCCTTCCCTTCGTCACTTCATTTTACTTCGTTTAACTTCACTTTCCACAAATTAGACTTATCTTCAAAATGAATAAAAATTTCTTTGAAATATATGATTTATTTAACCGAAATCAACAATCTTTTGCTAAAATTCTTTTTAAATAGTAAGTATGGCAAAGAAACTTTTCGCAAAAAAGCTACTCAAAAGAAGCCTAATAAATCTTCGATCTGGCATCGGTTATTTGGAAGAAGTCATTTTGATTTTCATTTTCACATAAATAGTTGTAAAACGAACATAAATGAATGAGTGGATAAAGTTTCATAATTATTTAGTAAATATTTAAGGAAAATAATAATTACATTTTAGTTTTCATACATCTTAAATTTTACAGCAAAAAGGAAACATTAAAGTGAATCTGGTGGTGATGTTGTTGCTGCGTATCTGGGGATGACTTTGTTGCTGTGAATCGATAATCGATTAATTATATTTTAGTGTTAATATCATCAGTGTACTGTAATTTGTGATTTTCTTTCCTCAACGTTTGAGACATTTTGATTTTAAAGATATTCCAGTACTAAATTTGCACAGGAACACAGTAAATTATAAATTAAAAAAGGTTTAAGATTACTTTTATTGTGATAAAAATATAATCGATTAACCAATCAGGTGATAAATAACCTAATCGAAAAACTCCACACTCCTAATTGTGCATGAAAGTCGTCACTTCGATAATCACTTCACTTTTCCTCCCAAGTCACTCCGAAACACTTCACTTTTAGTGTGTTTTCACTTCGCTCGAACAAGGTGACTTTGCAAGTTCAGCTTTTTATCAATCATGGTTGTATTTAAGTGCATTTATATTTGTAGATTTTTGTAAATTCAGTGCTGCCACAGCTTTAAATAATTAAAAACTATTTCAGGTTTTATCTATATCGGAGTAATTTTAGTTCAGAAAAAAACACTAAAAAAGGCACTAGGCACTAAATAATTTTTTATGGCGTTTTAATTTTCAAAAAGCACTACATCTAGTGCTTAAAGCACCAAATTGGCAACTATGGTGGAATCATCTCCACACTTTCTTTTAGACTGTCCAGCCTTCGCAAGGCTAAGATGGAAGAATTTTGGCTCTCACTGCTGAACAAACACTGAGCTCCCAGGGATCGAAACTAGCCGCAATCGAAATTTCGTAATCGGCTTGCGGCGTAAACTTCACCCAACCTAAGCTGTACTTCTTTGAGCTATGAATAGGGTTCAATCGATACAAGTAAATACAAGTAAATAATCGATACTTTTCTTTTGATACCAAGTATTTTTTTATTCGATACCTTTTTTTCGGTATCGAGTAAGTATCGAAAAAAAAGTACTTGGTATCGAAAGAGTAATTTCTACTACTTTCATCATTGCAAGGGTAACTCAACAAATGACGTTATAAGAGTTTTCGCGAAAAGTGCGGTCATGTAGTAGAGAAAGTAGAAATCGCTTGTCTGGAAAGCATTTAGAGAAGTTGTTGTTTCTTGGCAGTGTGCCCCAAAAGCTTTTTTTAATAAATATTTTGTGAATAATATACTTATGTATATAAAGTCATATATGTAATTATAACGAATATTGTTCCTCAGCAATGTACCAAAAGAAACAATACAATTTTTTTTTTCATAAATAGTATGTAAATGATGCAGTGCGCTGTATACTTATAGGGGTGACCTTATGGATAAGTGTCGGATTTTTGTTTTTATTTTCAAATTAATTTTAGTTACTTTTTTATAAAAAATATAGTTCATTCTATGACAAAAACCATGTAAATCCAAGTTTCAAATTTTGTACAAAAATTAAAAGAAAATCAAAGTTTCACCAAAATTAAACACTTTTTATTCAGAATAAAAAGTGTGGAATTTTGATGAAAACGTACTAGCGCAAAAGAGAAGGCATAAGTTGTCTCTTCTTATTATTTACGTTATTTGATGAAACTTTGTTGAATTGCTTTTAATTTTTGTACAAAGTTTTAAACTTGGATTAACAAGGTTTTTATTATGGAATGAACTAAATTATTTATAAAGAAAGTGAATAAAACTAATTTGAAAATAAAAACAAAAATAAAAATCCGAAACTTATCCATATTGGGTGACCTATACACTCATATGACTGAAAAAATTATAACCAATACTGTTCCTTGGTAATGTGCCGCAAATATTAATTAATAATTATTTTGTATTCTTACTAAATAACTTAAATATATACGTTTTCTATACCTGCAACTTTATTGGCTTTTTATTTGATTTTGACATACAATGTTTTAAACCATGATAAGACGTAATCATACGACCTTTTACAACAAAAAATGGAAGTATCTCTCGAAAGAGAAGATGAAAACAATTCAAGTAAATGCTCGATACTTTGCCGATACTGAGTAGGTATCGATACTTTCAGTCTTTTGAATACAAGTACTCATTAGAGTGATACCTTAGTGTTATCGATTGAACCCTAGCTATGAAATAGTTGGTCACATTATTTATGCTGGTCGATTTAACGGTGGTAATTTGATTTTGATCCCTGGCGTCTCCGAATGTCTTCTTTCCACGGATGCTTTCCATTTCCAGACAACCGGTCAGGTACGAGCATGATCTTTAATAAAAATATATAAAAAATTTTTAAATAAAAATATAAAAAGCGGGAAAATGTGATTTTGTATTTCGAAACTGTATGGTGGAAAGTGTGTTCTAATATCTATTTGATACACAAAAAATGATCACGGCTGTACTTTTTGCTGATATATTACATACATATGTTCCATTTAGTTAAACAATATAAGAATACTGTAGTATGTACCACAAAAACGTATATTTTCTATAAAAAATCATAACTCAGAAAAAAAAATTTCCGCTATTAGAGATTTGGATTGATTGTAGTTCAAAGTGTCTCTTTCCCGATAAAAAAGTTTGAGAGAAAAAAAATACACTTTCTGAGAAATTAAATAAATAAAAAAATTTGCACCTTTTGTTTATTGTTAAATAAAAAATTTTAAATAATGAAAATCAATAATTATCTTGAAGTGACAAAAATTGCTGACATTTGAGTAAAAACATTGTTGGAATCTATTAAATTTTGACAAAGTTATGGGCATTTAAAAAAAAAAATCTCACTGTCAATTCGAATAATCGATTTTTGCCTGAAAAACAAAATCGCGTTTAATTCGGCCGAAAAATTTTTCCGAGCCAAAAGAAAAAATACGTGTCTCATTATTTGGACCAACAAACAATGTACCTGAGTTTGGTCGAAATTAAAAATCATGCTCGTACCTGACCGGTTGTCTGGAAATGGAAAGCATCCACGATTTTTAGCAATAAATGGACTCCAGCGCCGCGGATCTCTTTTTCAATAGTATTGCCCCTACCGTTACCAATATACATCTTATTTTTGAGGCGAAACGGAAAAAAAATACGACGGAAAAAATGGATCCTGTATGTTAATCTAGGAAAAGGCTTTCTACGTACTAAATTTCAAGCAAACCGGACGATAAATAAGACTTTTTCGAATAGATCACTCTCTGGTCCACTTCACAGAAAAAAGAATCATATATGCTAATCCAGGTGAAAAGCTCCCTACGTACCAAATTTTAAACAAATCGGACCATAATGAGATTTTTTCGAAAATATAATTCGGATGTAAAATGCTTGAGTTCTGTGATTTCATAGTTTCCACCTTCGCCTGCTAAATTAAATGAATAATCATTGTTGAATATAATTGTTATAAGGCCATAAAATAACAAAAAGAAATAACTTAAAGACGAGTACACCTAAAAGTAAAACATTCTAATAATAGAATTATTAACAAGAACCAACAAAACTAACAACCACATGATCAAGTGAATTGCAGCGGAATAGCTGCGCTTGATTGTAGTTGGCTTAAAAAGTGAAATAGTGGAAATAAGCATTAAGAATTAAGAAGGCGAACTTAGCACAGTATATAAATAGGCAACTGGCTGAGTCAGTGGGATCGTCGGTTCGAATCCTACTGAAAGAAGTCTGATGAGGATATGTGGTGATTTCCGAAATAGCTATCACTTCTACCATTTTTTCACATTATTGTTGCTTTTGCACAATATGTTTTTCATTAAAACGGCCTCAAGCTCAATACAAGTTGTTGAATATAAATGAAGCTACGAAAATATTACACATGTACAATGAAGTCAAATATAAATTTTAACTTACAGTTTGTGGCGTTTATTGCTTTCCTTCTTATCGGCTGAATTTCAGATATACATTTCATTACAAATATTTAGATAAAAAAGTTAATGTTTTCGTAGATGCATACATACATGTATGTGCACTCCAAAGTTTAAAAAGGTATTTACTTATTTAAGAGTGTAGATACATATGCCTTAATATAAATATGTGCACTAGGGCGGAGTAATCTAATTTCTAAAAAAGTGTATGGCATATCCGAATTCTACGTTCAATTCTTAGCAAAAATGGCGAACGAACTATATACGAAAAATTATGTTTGACCCTCCTAATTTTTAAAAGAAAATTCTTGTATAATAATTTTTTCTGAACGAAATTAGTTATTCATTTAATAAATTATGCGTTTTCTGCATACAATATACTGCTTTTTCTTTTGAAAATTGAGAGGGTCAAACGTCCATTTTGGTACATAGTTTGTTCGCCACTTTTGCTTAGAATTAATCGTATAATTTGAATTTGCTATACACTTTTTTGAAAATTTTGCGCTGAACAAATTACTCTGGCCTAATGTGCAATGTTATTGTTATATATGTACATATCTATCATTTGCTTCAATAGTATCGTAACTCAAAAAAGCGAAACTTAAAGTTTTAAATTTACACATATGTATATACTCCTATGCGGTTAGCGGTGATTTCTGCGTACTTAACTCAATATTTGTATTTTTTGGATTATGACAATATTGAAGTAAATGACCGATATGTACACATATACGTACATTTACATATGGCTTGTAATACTTTGAAATTTATACATATTGAAATTATAAACATTTAGCATCAAAGCTTCAATAATTTTTTTTCTTGTGACCTAAATAAAATGTGTTAAAAGCCTCCATTCTCGGATATCCTGATTATTCTCGCACATATGTACCCAAGTAACGGTCACACAAGCCACAATAATGTGCCGTATTCATGCAACTGCCAATGCAATAGGGTAAACACACGAAGCAGTAGAGCCTAAAAACATAAGATCGCAGTATTAAAATCGTTAAATAGAAAAATATTAAAAAATAAAAAGACATACATAGGGGTATTCATCAAAACGAGTCAATGCCTCGTAACCAGGCAAACCTCGTAAACTTACTTAATTTTATATGGAAAACCAGTTTATTTACGGGATTTACGCGTTTACGATGCATTTAAGCGTTAAGATGGATACCCCTAGTATCTTGTTTCAATTCTCTGAATAGATGCAACTCAGTACACTCGAAAATTTTATTATATCGGCTTAGTTCCGCATTTATCTTTTTATAGATAAGATGTACGCTGTACAGTGAAATACAACAACTTATTTCTGCTTATCTCTGTAAAAGCTTCGACTATAAGAGGGCTTCTTTCTGCATCGATTTCGTCCGCATACCCCACTTTATACAGTACCAACTTTGGGTGGTCTCATGATTTCTTGTGGTTAAATTACTTTCGCAATGTAAAACTTTTAAAATTCGCCATTTTCCTTAAACCGTTTTTCTTAGAATCACTAATGCTAAATGTACCTACGTACACATAGGTAGCGGTACCGAGCCGAGCGGTTCAATTTCGTGCAGAGCGAAGCATTCAAATTGCCGTGTGCAAACTAAATTTGACACTGGGTGACAGAAACTTTTCCAAAAGTAAATCCTAATTAACTAGATCAGTGGTCGGCAGGCCATAGCTCACTGAGCGCTCTCTGAACACATGTGTGTTTCACACGTATACGAAGAGCGGTAGCTGAGAAGTGCATTTAACGCACACAGTCTCACTTATTGAATCGTTTGAATGTGTTAGAATGCCGACCACTGAACTAGATTGTACATAATAAAAATCCTCTAAAACCTGCATGCCTCGGGTATAAAAAACCATAATTGGCAAGGCCATAATAAGCACTTACTGGAAAAGGCAGAGCAGCAGAGCAATTAGATGCGTGCGTGAGGTTGGCTTAAAGCGCAAGCGGGTGCGTGTATAATTGTGGCAGTAGGGACACTGTATATCCACCGGTGCGGGTCCATATGCCAACGGTGCGCCGGCTGTGCCCAAGGCATAGAAAAATAAAAATGTAGAAGCAAATCACAAGCGAAAGAAACAATTTATGAACTCAAAGGTTGCGTCACTTACGTGTAATTACAACAATATGCGCGGCATCCGGCGCTGTCGTGGGTGTGGCACCTGTTGCTTGTGAGTACGTGGGTGGCGCCGGTTGCAATAGAGCCTGTTGCTGTTCACTCGCTGCGACCGGCTGCTCAAGTGGAGTGGACGGGTAAATGCGCTGCGGAACGTTTGATTTTTCATCCATATTTGCGAGGAAAACACTTTATGGTAATTCTTTGTAGAGATATTTGATATTGATATGCTACACTTGTAGAATGTTTGTTGGAGGCAAACACTCTTTGCAATTTTCTCTGGTTTTCGCGGTGGGTTCGAATTCGAATACTTTGCTCTAATTACTTTTATTTTATTATGCGCGTCTGCCAGGTGTGTCACGCCGTTACTGCTGCACTCATATCTCATACTGCGGAGCTTTCACATACTTACGGCGAGCAATTTTCGATTTTGGTGCGACACAATTCTTAACAAAAACGAAACAGTCCGAAAAGTAAATAAAACTATAAAAAGCCCACAAAGACGTGCGGCAGGGCGCGAAAGCAGAAACTGTATTATATACAATCGAGAAGTTAAGCCAAGCCATACGAACACTATTGAAAATATACAACGTGCGTATTTATCTATAAATACTAGGATTATTGACACGGTTTTTTCAAACCGGTTTAACCGGTTTCAAGGCGCTTTTTTCGAATATCGAATAATCCGGTTTTTTGCTACTTTGAGCGTTTTGAGCTACCTCTAAATAGTTTTTGATTTCAAAATAAAATGGGGGGTAACTCTCGGTGTAGAACAATGCTAGGGAGTGAGAGCATAAGAATCCCGACTTTACTTTTTCACATGCATTTTTGGACCACCGTAATGCGCATACATTTTCCAGTTATTGAGAACAGTATACATCCACGCATAACTGCTTTCATTGAAAATGGTATATACAGTGTTGGAAAAATAAATAACACATTTTTCCTATTTTTATTTTGTGTTTTTAATATTTATTCAGCCTTATCATGTGATTCATTTTCACCGAAGCGATTCACTTTTCACTTTTGGTTTCCATGGTTCTACGGATGACAAATTTTCGGGTGATTTTTTTTTTTTCAGACGAAACTCAGGGTAAGGCAGATTATTTTTTTTATAAAAGTATAGCTCATTATCTAACAAAACCTATATAACTTCATATTTCAAACTTTGTGCAAAAATGATATCTAAATTTGCAAAATTGAATCTAAATTTGCAACATTTTAATCCGATTTTTCAGATTTTTTTGAGTATGCGGTTTTATAGTCCAATTTTAGTAGAATAAAGTACAAGTTGAAGTGCCTACAAAATCGCGCCGATTTCTGATAATTTTTATTCTGAAGGTATTACGCACTTTTTCCATACAAAAAAAAAATGTCGAACATAATTTTTATGGAAAATAAAGCTTTTATGGAAAAAATTGCCAAAAATCAACACGATTTTTTTACAACTTAAAACTTACACGTCATTATACTAAAATTTATTGGACTATAAAACTGCATACTCCAAAAATTCTAAAAAATCTGATTAAAAACTTAAAAATTTATATGCAATTTCGCAGAATTGTTATAATTTTTCACAAAGTTTGAAATATTAATTTATATGGTGTTTGTTAGACAATGAGCTATAATTTTATGTACAAATAATAAATATTAAATATACGAAAGAATAATGGGCAAAATTTGAAAAAACGCCGTGTGCGTATTTATTTTTCCACCACTGTAATTGAAAATTCCATTTAGGAAATGATTTCGAAAGCAACTAGAAGTACAGTCGGGAGTAGATAATTCTAAAACTCTATGATCTCAAATTTCCGGTAAACCGGTTTGATATTTTCTAGCTTGGCTATTGTGTTATCTGAATTCATTGAAAATCTACATATAGCCCCTACAGAGTACACAGTTCTGATGTGAAAATAATCAATTATATTAATAGAATCTCAAATTATTTGAATTAGTTTTAGATTCGGAATAGTGCGTGCTGCAATCTGTGATTTAACAAGTAAGAAAGTCTAAGTTCGGGCGGAGCCGAACATTAAATACCCGGCGCAAGTATTAAATATATGTTTTCCACCTTTCCGAAAGCTACCGCTACATGATAAGCCGGGGTCTATACATTTTAAGTAAATTAGCGTCCTTAAATTTCGAAATATTGAAATGTCAAGCATATCTGAAATTTACCGTTATATGAAAAGCGGCCTCAATTTTAGTCCGATTTCAACAATTTTCCACGGTTTGCTTTTATGTGGCAAGCACAATAACCATACCGAGCTTGGTACAAATTGCTAGAACGGTTAGCGAGATACATATATGTGATCACAAGTGTGCGGATCTACGCCCATTTTCCAAAATTTTGTCATAAACGTATTTCTTGGTAAAGAATTGTTGCAATCATCAATTTTGAATAAATTAGCTTCAATATTTACTGATTTATCGAAGATTTTGTATTTCTCGAAATTACCGTTATACGGGATGTGGGCGTGGTTATTGTCCGATTTTAGAAATTTTCGGCCAGTTGGTATGCTGTACCAGGACCAACAACCGTGCCAAGTTTGGAAGAAATAAGTGTAGCGGTTACCAAGATATACACATGTAACCATAAGTGGGCGTGGCTACGCCCATTTGCCAAAATTTTGTAATATTCTTATTTTTCGTCTAAAACTCATTGCAAATATAAATTTTGAGTGAATTATCTTCAGTAGTTACTAAAATATCGCAGTTTTCGTTTTTCTGAAAATTACCGTTATATGGGAGGTAGGCGTGGTTATTGTCCGATTTTTTAAATTTTCAGCCATTTAGTATGCTGTACTAAGGCCAACAACTGTGCCAAGTTTGAAAGAAATTGGTGCAGCGGTTACCAAGATATACACATGTAACCATAAGTGGGCGTGGCTACGCCCATTTTCCAAAAATTTAGAATATTCATGTTTTCCGTCTGAAACTCATTGTAAGTATCAATTTTGAGTGAATTATCTTCAGTAGTTACTAGAATATCGCAGTTTTCGTATTTCTTAAAATTACCGTTATATGGGAGGTAGGCGTGGTTATTGTCCGATTTCGCCCATTTTCAATACCATCCGTCCCACGCCCAAAAGCAGTTCACGTACCAAGTTTCGTTAAGATATCTAAATTTTTACTCGAGTTATCGTGTGCACAGACGGACGGACGGACGGACGGACGGACGGACGGACGGACAGACAGTCACCGCTTAATCGATTTCTCTTTTATTTCTGATCATTTATGTATACATTTGTCTACATCTATCTCGATTCGTTTTGCCTGTTACAAACAACCGTTATGTGAACAAAGTTATAATACCCTTGTGCACAAGTGCGCTCGGGTATAAAAATAAACAGTAAGAGAACATAAAATAAACAACCCCAATTTACCTTTTAAATTGTACACAAATTAAAATTTCTGAATTCTTTTATTAAAAGGTTTATACTGAGACACTATTCTGAGCCGGACACTCGCCTGCTGCATTAATTTGAAAGTGATTCATTTCTAACTACTTTTTCAACCGATTACTTTTTATACGGCTCGCTTTATTCCAACAGGGTATTCAAAGTAAACACGTACATGTATGTATATGTATGTGCATCTATGTACGTACTTACGCGCTTCTGTGGTTATCAGCACTGCCAGTAGCGGACGCGGCGATAACAATCGATTTCAAACGAAAAGCTTACATTTTTATCATCGGAAATCGCGGTAAATTTCACTGTTGCAGAGTGGGGGTGTGCTGGGCGCATTGGCAAGACGCACACTCATAATTACCTCCACATATATATATACATTTTTGTCAATTCGTATATACGCTCTCAATGCGCTATTTGATTGAATGAATAGCTACTACATTACATTAAGGTGGTCGAAAAAAAATTTCCGAGACAAGGTTCGGAGTGCCTTCCAAAATTTTTCCTCTTGTCGAAAGAGGTGGTGCATCCAAACTTTACGTTTCTCAGGGCCAGTTTTCCAGCGCACTTCTTTGGTTTAAACTTAGTTTAAAAGCTGGCTGGTTTAAATTAAGATTATCCAATCAAATATCAGCCAGCTGTTCAATACAAACGCAGTTTACGTGATCTAAGTTTGAACTGAAATCAGTTTGCAGTTTGCCACATAGCGAAAATATGTAATTCCTTCATGGCATAGATTTTTTGCCTTAACTTTATACAGAATTTTACGTTGGTGACATGAAGTTTTTGCTTGAGAAGACCCTTATTAAACTTTTCCGAAAATTAATTTTCTAGAATGTTTCAATCCTCTAACGAACTTCCAAATTTACTTTTCTCGGGGTTTCTCGATGTAATGGTCAAAACGATCTTTTCAGGCGGGAGCTAATGGGTTAAAATGTTATACGAAAATATTTCCCATACAGAAAAAAAACAATTGCATAAAACCTGAGGAATTTTTTCAAACCCTGAGAAATTTGTGACAAACTCTGGGCTTCGAGATTCGATCGGAGACCCCTGAATCTCAGTGTGATAAATCCAATCTGGCAACCCTATACATACCGTATTCTTAAACGCATCTTTACTAACAGTTTTGGAGCCGTAACTTAAAAATTATTAATTTTCTGGCATATTTAAAAAAGTCCTACACAAAAATATATGTATGTAGCTAATGTTTGGACTTTTTCGTTCTTTACTTTTCCTGTTAGTAAAGAAACATCATTGGTGCTTTTCTATATTTTAACAACGATTTGTACGTGTGTACTAGGGATATTTCGAATGTCATATTTTTCACACTCGCGAATGCGAATGCGAATGTTAGGAATAACATTAATAAACTTAAGTCTTCGTTTTTATTACTTAAACTACTACTAAATTAAATTAAATTAATTAAAACTTAAATTACTATTTACCATACATTGTTTTTTTGTTTGTAGTAGTCAAAGTTCAAAAAAGGGGCATACTATATTTAAAAAAAAAGCAATTTTGCTGCCTTTTCTTCCATGAGGCGAGGTGAGTTGGAACGCTGGCGGGTGGAGCGCTCAAAGTTACCACCCACATTAAGTTTTTGTTTTATTTTTAAATAGTGTGGCTTGCGTTACCCCACAGGGCCACTATTAGTCGCAAGTTTAATAAACCCAATCGTGGTCGTAGTTCGCTAATGGTGATCCTAGGGAAAGTCGTCTAAAATCTGCTGATGCATCAAAAATTATCGATTTTATGCATGTAAGGATTATGCCAGATCGACGGTATTGCACAAAACTTTAGCCGTATAAAGAATTTGTTCCTTATTGGATACTGCACAATTTGACAATCGTGCGATCTGGTGCAAAAATTCTTTGAAGAAAGTCGACCTAAGTGCATTAAATGCAGTAAACAACGTACACGTTCGACTTCTAGTATAATGCCACTACCAAATTTAAGCAATAGCTCTTAGAATAAGGAATATGATTACAAAGAGCTAAGCTGTAAGGTGATAACTTAATGTAGATAAGCTGTATACTTAAAACCCTATAAACATTTTGGCGAACGCTCGAAAAGACCTTCGATAATGGGTTAAAAAAAATTAAAACCATAGAGACAAGAGAGATAGTGAAAGCCAGCTCACTCTCAAAGGCAAATATAAGACAATCATACTCTCATTAAAATTTCCATTCTGTAATGGGCTGGATTTCGAACTCATAACGGAGGCAAACAATATTGGTTAGAGGGGGTTCCGGTTTGTTGTTGAATGGCCTAGTTCTCGAATCGTATACTTACTTATTTCACATTCATTAAAGAAAGTGAGACTTGAAAAAATATTAGTTCCTCAATCATTTTCAAATTGCTAACCAAGCCCAATGCTTATTGAGTACTGTTTATATGTTATATAGTAGTGACGAGTTATGAAAACCTAC